ACAAATATATCCCCGTATTATTATAAATGATCTACATATACTCTTCTTTATACTTTTGGGACACTGGTGTCCCTATCGTCCAGAAAAAAGATTATGTATATGCTCTTTATTCTAACGGGAGACTAAATATAGGGACACGTGACACAATTTTATCTATTGAATAAATGTCGGATCAATGGATAAGATTATAACACGCGTATGTCAGTAAGTATAAACGGTATTTATTTTAATGGCTTAATAATTAAAAATCTTTGTTTTTTTGCTTTCTAACATTTTTTTGGCCTTTTATGTTCTCATAGTTCCAACTATGTATCCAACAAAGATACATTCATTGCTTTGCTTGGTTGATACACTTCAAAATCTTGGAGTACATCGGCATTTTAAATCAGAAATAAAGAAAGCTCTAGAAGAAATATACAGGTAAATTAAATCTAATTAATCAAAATCATATTTTATAATTGGCTATCTCTAGGTGTTTCACCTTTACTATTTAGTATATCATAATAATGTCAATTATTTATAGGCTATGGCAACAAAAGAATGAAGAAATTTTCTCAAATGTCACCCATTGTGCTATGGCTTTTCGACTTCTAAGGATGAGCTACTATGATGTCTCCTCAGGTTTGTTACTAAAAACTCGAGTCAATAATTATTTTCTTAAAAAGTTAATTTTGTTGTTAGAAAAAAATTGAAATCAAGAAAATATATGACAGTTTGAGATAATAATTAAAATATTAATCAGCTGAGTTATCATCAGTAAAAACTCTGACGTTTACCTTAATGAATTCAACTAATTTGCAGATGAACTAGCAGAATTTGTGGATGAAGAACATTTTTTTTCAACAAGTGGGAAATTTATAAGTGATGTTGCAATCATTGAGCTCCACAAAGCTTCACAATTGACTATTAATGAGAAAGATGACATTTTGGATAAAATTAACAATTGGACAGGAATATTTATGCAACAAAAACTCTTAAACAATGACTTCCTCGATATCAAGTCAAAGAAGGAGGTATTATTTCATATGACTACTTAGGATTCATTACAAATTTAATTATATCTCTTACTCTTTTTTTTTAATTTGAAAAAGAATATATTTATTTTTTCAACAATTCTCTAATTCTAACTATCCTTGTGGTACAGTATACATATATATCTTTAGTTTAAGACTATATTTTTTAATTATTACTCCCTTCTTTTTTAAAGAAAATGATCCTATTTCCTTTTTTGATTGTTTAAAAAGGAACGACATCTTTCCTTTTTTGGCAACACTTTAACTTTAATTTTCGACTGACATATTTAAGACCATAAGATTAAAGGACATTTTGATACATTTGACATAACTTTAATTTAAAACCACAAGATTAAAAAGTCTTATCTCTTTTCTTAAACTCCATTCCAAGTCAAACTAGGTCATTTTTTTTTTTGAAACGGAGGGAGTATTAATATTCTTTATTGTTGTTTTATTTTTTCCTTACAAAAGTTGAATTCTTACAATTTAAGAAACATTAATTAGGTGGAACTTGCTTTGAGGATGTTTTATGTGACATATGATCGTGCGGAAAATCGACGATATATCGAGTCATATCAAGAGAACAATTTCAAAATGTTAAAAACAGCTTATAGGTATGACTCTATATATATAACCATCACTTGTGTAACGTTCATGAATATATATTCATATACAATCACAAAAAAATAAAGAAACGTAATTTTATTGATAAATATTGCGGGTACAATTCTGTTCGGGTCGTTAGTGACATATTCTCGAACTAAAATGATTTAGATTTGAACTCTATATAAATATTTCATTAATTTATGAAATATTCTATATGTCTTATAAGGAAATGGGGAAAGACGAAAGTTACATAGATATGAATATCTTATTGATAATAGTACAGGTACAATTTTGTTCCTCTCATGATTCTACTCTCATAAGATTTATCCATTATTCGAGGGCCGTTAGTGACGTATTTCTCGAACTAGGATGATTTAGATTTGACCCCTATAGGAATATTCCATGACTTTTGAGGAAAATTCGAGATGCCTTTTAAGGAAGTTTAATACCCTTTATATAGGCATTTAACTTGATTTATGGTTGAGTAGTCTCTAAGAATTTCAATTGAAATCGAACACACCTTCTAGAGTCCCAATCGAATTGAACACATCTTTTCGAAATCTATAAAATTTCAATGTCTACAAATGTCCCCTGCTTCAAGACTTGTCGGAGTGTAAACTCGATTATACTCAAAACAAGGGTTGAAGTACTCATTCTTCCACCTTTGTAACTTCAGATTTTCATATTTGATTTATGAGCGAAGAGATGGAGGGAAGATTTGATCACACTAGGCGTGCCAATTTGTTTGCAACAAATTTCAAAGTGAGAAAGTAAATTACAATCACAAAAAAAATAAAAAACGTAATTTTATTGATAAATATTGCGGGTACAATTCTGTTCGGGTCGTTAGTGGCATATTTCTCGAACTAAAATGATTTAGATTTGAACTCTATATAAATATTTCATTAATTTATGTAATATTCGAGATGTCTCAAATTTAATACCCCTTTATATAGGCATGAACTAGAGTTTAGGGTTGATCACCCTCCAAAAATTCTAATTGAAATTGAACACACCTTCTCGAGTCCCGATTCAATTTCAATTGATAAATATTACAGGTACAATTATGTTCCTCGCTTGATTCTACTCTCCCAAAACTTATCCATAATCTGAGGGTCGTTGGTGGCCTACTTTTTTTTTTTCTCTATTACTAGGTGTGGCAGCATGAACAATATCGACTTGTTAACATTCTCAATGCAAGAATTTGAGTTGGGGCTATCCCAATACCAAGAAGAAGTTGAACAACTGAAAAGGTACGTCAATTGACAAGAGCCAAGCTAGATCTTTTCCATTGCATTGCTTTAATTCATTGTTTGACTAATAATGTTAGGTGGTACGAAGATTACAGACTAGAGCAAGTGGGATTGGCACAAGAATACATATATCGTACTCACTTAATTAGTGTTGCTGTATTCTTCGAACATGAATTATCCAATGCTCGAATTATGTATGCAAAGTACGCCATGTTTCTCACTTTGAGTGATGATCTTTTCGAACATTTGGCATCCAAAGATGAACTACTTAACATCATTGAATTAGTACAAAGGTACTCTTTTAATTAATAGCTATCTAATCTTTTTTTTTTGGAAATTAATTACATGAAACATTGGTGGTTATTGTTAGGTTGTGGATCCTGATTAATATTTGATATACTGTCATATATTAATGTTCACGCGGTTCAAAAATACTCTGATTTATTAATATATATACCACACCGCCGTGGAAGTTTACTCACGGGGTGTTACCACGAAATATTGGTTTCTTTTTCTCTCTCTAGATCTCTCATCTTTTTCTCTTGAACGTTGTTGTGTTCTTCATTCATCAAGTGTATGTGTGTGGATTCGATGTTATATATTACAGGTGGGATGAACACACAAATGTAGGTTTCCACTCAGAGAAGGTCAAGCTTTTCTTTACAGCATTATATGATACAATAGAGGAAGTTGCAACTAATGCACAAATCAAGCAAGGACGAAATGTCAAACATCACATAATAGAATTGGTATGGGGTTCACTTTGCATTTTTTTTAATTAATATAATTGTACTTGAAAAAATAAATTATTATTTTTTATAATGAATATTTGACATATGTGTAGTAGTTTGTTGAAGGGTTAAATAGCATGTTGGTAGATAGAGTAGAGTGGGGTACAAGAATACCAAGCATAGAAGAGTACTTGCGTGTGTCCTTGTCAACTTTTGGTGGAAAATGCATGGTTCTAACATCACAATATGTTGTTGGAATTCAACTTTGCAACTATCAAAGTGATGATGAAATACAAGACTTGTGCTATTGTTCCGGCATAGTCATGCGGCTTCTTAAAGATTTACAAAGTTTCAAGGTAATAAATGAATGAACGGTTTTTTTTTTTGTGAAGGTGGAACATCTGAGAAATCAACTCTAATTGTATTGGAATTTGTGCAGAGAGAACGATCGGATAGTAGGTTAGTGAATATGGTGAAATTAGTAATGAAGCAAAGGTCAGGAACAATATGTGAAGAAGAAGAGGCTATAAAGCATATAAAGGAAACAATTGAATGTAATAGAAGAAAGTTGCTAAGGATGGTTCTTCAATCTAAAGGAAAAGGAAGCAAAGTACCACAAGCATTGAAAGATTTATTTTGGAGGACAACCAAAGCGGTTTATTTCTTTTATTCAGATCATGATGAGTTTCGATCTCCAAATAAAGTCAAGCATCATATCAATCAAGTCATTTACAAATCACTCCACATTCGATGAATTCTTGAGATAATCGTATTGAGTTTAAGAGCTGCTTTTTAGTATATTCTTATGTACTCGTATTGGGTAATTGAATATAAGGAGAATGTGCCAGAGAGTCCGGTGTGGCGCGCCAACAATGCACCACCGAAAAGGAGTTTATGAACTTTAGGGGTTGGTGCACTGTGCCAGGATCGGATGCCCCCATCCTTTTTTCGTCGTTTGCTCCGTATAAGTCCTTTGACTCTATACTTTACTTTCTATTGATTCTGACTATTCTCAACTAAACATCTAGAAATCATTCATGACATGAATAATAATCTTGAATTCAAAAATCAAATTCAAGGTGGAGTTAAGAGACAAGTCTTGAGAGTTCTTCAAGTCAATTTTAAGAAGTCTTTTTAAACTTGTTGTAAGACTTGAGCATTAGATTTTGAGGAAGAGTAAAGTTGAGTTCATTTTCTTTAAAATGATATATGGAAACTAAATATTCCCAAGAGAAATGTTTATATATAAGAAAAAAGGAAACACCAATTTTCAAAAGAGTTCATGAGCAGTTTTGAGTACTATCTTTTTTAAGAGAAACCTTTAGAATAATAATCTCAAAGTCGAGGAAGAAGAAATGTTTTTTTAAAAAACATATTGAGCTAAATTATATTTTAGGAGTAGTATCGAACACCGATATGTGGGGAATTCTAACAACTCACAACCCCCATAAAACATATAACCAACGTGGGTAGAAATGGTCATACTTTTTAGATGATCTTTATTATTTTTTAGCACAGACTAGCTGATCCACTTAGTTGAAGAGTTGAATATCCCGGCAAGGTATATGATTCTTGCAAAGTTATTGGGTGTCGTGGCACCCCTACCTATATACTTAGATCTGCCATTGTTTACGTTATACAAAATATCAAAATCTAAAATAAAAACTTTATTCTTCTTAATTTATTATTGTGTTGCACTTATATTGTTCTTTTTATGTTTGTTACTAATGTTTCTATTTTAGGAGCATTTGTAAAGTTGCATTATTACTTCCTCCATCCGGTATTATTTGTCATGGTTTCTATTTTTAGAGTCAAACTATAAAAAAATTTGACTAACTTTTGAGATGTATTTTTTCATCATATTAATAAGCAAAAAATTGCAATTTATAGTAATTTTTCATATAGTTTTAGAATATCTAGTTTTTTTTGTCTAAAATATCGAATTAATGTGATCTAATTTAACTTTGAAAATTAGTCGAATTAACTTTTGAAAAGCATAACATGACAAATATCATATAATGTCAAATTTGTTGAAGAAGTCGTATATTTATTTTACAAGCAATTTTTATTGGTCAAACTGAAAATCAAACAATTAAAAATCAAAATTCATATTAATTAAAAAATATCATATTAATTTAACATATTTAAATACCTAATACCAATAAATCAAAATTAATAATATATAAAATCAAACATACCGAACTGATCAAAGATTCTTTAACCAAGTGGGAGACAGCATAGGTAAACGAGAATTATTTTTATAGTAATAATGTGAAGATTCGCAAGATTTGAGTCCTTCAATAATAGATTAATACAACTCGTGGACAGTGAGGCATAATTAATAAAATTATCTTGATTAACCAAAAAGATTAATGAAATAAAAATTATTAAATGGAAAAAGTACCCCTTAAACCAATATTTATTGTGGGGAAGCACAAACAATTAAGCGTGTTCATAAATCGGTTGGAATTGATTATTGGTCAAAAATTTAAGGTAGCAATTTCAATTTTTTTTAAAAAAAATTACATTTTGCAAAATCGCTGCAGCGGCAGTGATTTTGTTTTTTCCGGTGGAGTAAATCGCTGTTCTTTCAGCGATTTTACCGTTTTGGTTAATATAAAATTTTATATACTATTTTGGAATTTTTGTTAATATTTTGTACCCTTTAGACTTCGGACTCTTAAAAACTGCTTATTTTTATGAACATTTTTTTAAAAATAATAATTTGTGTTTGATTAATTTATTTAAAAAATATTTTTAATAAGTAAGTTGTGTTTGGGTTAACTTTTTTATGGAATAATTCGTAATTATGCTTTTTGATATTTAAATAAACTTGCCATGCCCACCCACCCCACATGACTTGTCTTGTACATTATTCTTGCTAAGATAATTGTCGTATAAATTAGAAGAGATATTGGTAAATCAAAATTAGCACCTCTTTTATTTATATAGTCAATTAAACACATTATGGAAGTCTCCTCCTTTATTTTCACATTTTTTCTCATTTTCCTACCTTCTTGCGATCGTAAAAATCACAAAAAATCAAAAAATTTGCCTCCGGGTCCATGGAAACTTCCAATCATCGGAAACTTACACCAACTCGATATTTCGCGACCTTACATCACACTCAAGGAGTTATCGAAGAAACATGGACCGTTGATGCACCTAAAACTCGGTGAACGCTCAACTATTGTCATTTCTTCGTATAAAATACTTAAAGAATTGATGAAAACAAGTGACACTATCCTCTCTCATAGGCCCGAGCTCCTTGTCTCGAAAACCATGGCTTACAACGGTGGAGACATTGCTTTTGCGCCCTATGGTGATTACTGAAAAC